CCTCCGGGGGAATGCTGAGGCGTTCCCAGGCCAGCCGAGAGACATAGTCCCTCCAGCGTGTCCTGGGTCTTCCCCGGGGCCTCCTCCCGGTGGGACATGCCTGGAACACCTCCCTAGGAAGGCGCCCAGGAGGCATCCGAAACAGATGCCCGAGCCACCTCAGCTGGCTCCTCTTGATGTGGAGGAGCAGCGGTTCTACTCTGAGCTCCTCCCGGGTGACCGAGCTCCTCACCCTATCTCTAAGGGTGCGCCCGGCCGCCCTGCGGAGGAAGCTCATTTCGGCCACCTGTATCTGGGATCTTGCCCTTTCGGTCATGACCCAAAGCTCATGACCATAGGAACACGAGTTCAAAAGTTTAAATGCTCATTCATTGAAATAAAGACAGACAGCTAGACACTTTATGATGACGTGAAGCTGAGAGCAGCAACCTGAATTAAAACATTAACCTAAAGATGTTTTAACTGTGCCCCAGGACCCAGACAGTGCAGCATGCTGGGAAATCTGCTAAAACGCTAATTTGGATCTTCAGACACTGACTTTGAGTTGTGTAAACGTCAGCTGTTCATTCATTCAGTTCATCTTTTCACATCTTGTGTCTGACAGTAAAAACTAGTCATTTTAAGCTGAATTCATAGGAAATTAAAAGTTCTGTTTACATCATGTTAATGACTGTTGTAATGTCGCAGTTACGTTGCTGTAATGTTGTTCGTTACCTTGGACTACGAGGCGTCCGAGCGCGGTTCTTCTGGATCTGCTGCCCGGTCGATTTGCTGAACACACATACACTCCTGAATGCTGCAGAGTCGCATCAGAGATCATCAGGTTTCCTGTTCCCAAAACCTGGACCCCCTCGACCCCGATGGACCGCCCATCTGACAAACAGAGACAGGTGATCAGGAGAGATGAAGGCAACAGATAAACAGGACAGGTGATCAGGGCACCCGTCCTGTTGGCTGCTCAAACCAGTTATGGCTTCATTTCTTGCGTGGCTTTTATAGGGCCACCATCAAGAGCATACTAATTTATTCTGTCTCTTTGTGGTATGCGGGATGTACCAGGGCTGACAAAAAGGCTTTGGAGAGAGTGGTAAAGGCAGCTGGAGAACAGCGGGCTCCACCTTACCCTCCTTGGAAGGACTGCCTGAGGCACAGCTATCGTTAAAGACACTGGGCACTATCTCTGGTCAGGGACGGTTTCTTTCCTAGGGCCATTTGCACCATTAAATATACAATAGACCACTGTCGCTGTTACTAGTACTTATCAGTACTACTGTCATCAACTGCTCATCAGTATTTATTTATTGCTTTGTGATATTATTTTATGGAATTAAGTTCTTAACTGGTTTCCCTTTTATAACTGTGATGTGTCCAGGTGTGTCCAGATGCGTCCTTAGACTGGAATGTATGATACACCAGAGTAGCGTTCTTGTAATTTCACTGGACACTTAAAACAATGACAATAAAGTATTCTGATTCTGATTAGCTATATGGAGGGAGGTGGAGGTTTATGATGCAGGTGATTACCAAGGCGACTCCAGGACACAATGGGGCGGGGATTTCCTGTGGCGATGCACTCCAAGATGGCAGTCTGGTGGACGTTGATGGTGAGGTTCTGAGGGCCGGACAGGATGACGGGCTCCCGGTAGATTCTGGATCCTGCAACTGGACGCACAGAAACCAGAAAACATCAGAGACCCGAATGATCAGGTGTAAACAGCTGTTGCTCCATCTGAGACCCATGAGGAATCTGTGCCTTCTGTTTGGTCTTTTAGGTCCTTTGCCCAGAGTCTGGTCTTACCAGTGACAGACAGCTGGGCCTCGTGGCTGTATCGAGTGTTGGCGATATTTGAGGCGATGCAGCGAAACAACCCGCTGTCTGTTCGTCGAACGCCGGTGATCTGGAGTACACCATTAGGAAGCAGGGTGTACCTGTGCAAAACAAAAACTATACCTGAGTATGCATAGCACATGTTAAATACTTGTTAGTATATGTTAAACACTAGTGATATGATGATACCAAAAGCTCACAGTATGTTATTGCCGCAATAAAACACCCACAATACAATATTTGTCACAAAAATATGGAAAAATGCCCTTCACTAAAGAATAAATCAGGTTTTTGTACAACTTTCCTTTTAACTTAGTGCTCCTACTCCGTGGTCTATTTTTTCAAGAGAAAAGACTTCAGCAGTGGTTGCTAAGTGGTTGGTTTTGCATTTGTGCATCAGATTTGTTTGCTCATCTTGATTAAAGTGTTGTGCAGAGTGTTGTCCTGACTGTTTATGTGAGATGTACCCAGGACTGTCTCAGTCCTAAATGGGGCTAGTATTATCTTGGTCCAGCAGGATTTGTAAATTGTTTGGCAGTTTCCTTTCTGTCCGTGTCATTTCTTGAAATGGGAAAACTACAATTCTGCCACACAACAGCTGTAAAAGTCGACGATGGAGCATCCACTATGTCAGTTTCAAATTCTGCAACTTGAACACAGTTATACTAGTGAAATAACCATATGTAATATCCTGGTAGGTACCGTGACAGTCCCACGACGGTATAGAGAAATATTTCTGTCACAAAATTACAAATATCATAACCTCCCAATTAAACACGCATGAGGTAAATTATACCTGGGGTCGTCGATGCTCAGTGGGAGTCGGTCTCTCTGCCAGGTGATGTTGGCCTCTGGGATTCCATTGACCTGACAGGTGAGTCTGGCCACTCCCCCTTCATCCACAGCAACAGACTCTGGGTGAGACACAAATTTAGGGAGGGCTGGGGTGGGGTGAGGGGTAAATACAGATATGGATGAATACACGATGACAAAAAGCTGTATATTTGTGTATGTTTTAAGTATGCTTGTATGCTCATGTATGTTTCGCAGTCACCCCTGTGACTCACATGCAAACTGGACCCGGGCCTTGCGGCTAATCAACATGCCATAGCGGTTCTGTGCGGCGCAGTCGTACTCCCCAGCGTCCGTCTCATTGTGCTCTCGCCTCTTGGAGAAGTTTCTAATGAGCAGCGTGCCGTTGCTGAGGACCGTCGCCCTGGTACCGGTGGCCACGGGAACACCATTCCGCCTCCAGGTGATGGAAATGGGCCCTTCCCCCTGAACCTGACAGTCCAACGTCAGGGGGTGGTCCCTCACCGCAATGACATCACTGGGTTCTTTAAGGAAGGCCAGCTCTGAGGCTCCACCCACACCTGAAAGGAGCAGACAGATGAAATACTAACATTAGAGATGTTCTCTTCCTCTGATCTCTTTCTGTCACAGATTACCTGCCACAGGTGAACTCAAATTCAGGAAAGGACTGAGAGCAGGCAGGTAGATCAGAGACCTGAAGACGAGCTCAGGTGGGTTTAAGGTGATTTCAAAAAGCCTCAGACTGTTTCTGCCCTGAACCAGATTCAGTCAAACTATGAAGGAACAGAACATAAATCAATACATAAATAACTGAGTCACTAAATAAATATATTTTGACAATTAACTGGGAAATAAATTGATAAATACACAGTGAAGTTAACTCTTTAATCTACATTTTTTCCTGAGTAATTACCAACATTTATTTTTTTACTAATTTGATTTTACATTCACTGATGTGCTTCAGTATTTAGAGCTTTCAGTCAGTATTTGTCATCCCTAAAGGACTCACACAGTTTTAAAAACTATTTTTAATTGTTTATTATTGTGATTACAGATATATTCAACAAACTGTCCTCACAGCTTGTTTCATGGTGTAAACAGGAACATGTTATCAGGTTGTAATGGCCTAGATATGGCCGTGGAAACCTACCAGTCACTCTCAGAACAAGACTGACAGCCATCACCAAACAGCCCTGAAAACAGTTGGCTACCATAGCAACCGCAGCCTCCAGTCACATTAGGAGCAGTGTGCTTCTGTGAGAATTCTAAACAACTTGAAACAGGGAACTATTTCAGTTACAACTGTTTTCTAACAATGAAGCTTTTTTAGTATTATTGGTTTTAACACATACACATTTATTCACCCATCTATGTACAGTATTTGCTATCCTTTAGGAATCCACATTTATCCTTTCATTTATCCTTTTTTGGTTTATTCAGTTTTTTTTTTTAATCTATTTATTATTTTCCTTTCTTCCTCCCCTCCAAGGACAATAAAGCATCTGTCCAACTATCGAGCCTGTAAGAACACTAGGAGCACGGGTGTGGACCAGACCTGGTCATGCAAAACTACAAATGTGAATCATTGAAATGTAAGAAAAACACCAATACTTGCTGGTTGTTGTATATAAAAATGTACTGCCAATATACAGAGGAAACCCCAGCTCAGTTTGCATCAGCACATCTGAAGACATAAGGTTATATAGCAAACCAGAGGACAAAGAAACCTTTCCTCACTGGGCTAAAACAGTTACAACTATTCAATTGTATATTGTCAGTTCACAACAGAAACCATTCACGGCACCTTACATGGAGAAACACCCAACAAATCACCCTTGACTAAGCAGCTGGCAACAGTGGAGAGGAAAAACCCCCTTTAACAGAAGAAACCTATAAAAGAACCTTACATATTATATTTGTCATGATAGCATCTGGTTTGCACTTAATTCCATTTGATTGATTTTTGTTTTATATTTACAAAACGTTTTATTTTTTGCCTTCCTGCCATGCTGTCACTTATCTGTAAAGCACTGAGAACTGTGTGAAAATGAATGAAGTTCTATTTAACTGGATGGGAGACAACACCTGTGTCTGGATTATTAAAGACTGGCGTTTAACCCAGTCGGTTCATGTGCACGTCTGAACTGATTAATTAAACAGAGGAGCCCGAACTTAAACTTCACAAAGCTGTAAAAATAAAAGTGATTCTCTGGAAATAAAATAAACTTCATCTCTGTGCCTGTGAAACTTCATCAGTCAAAACTGAGCTGGGTCAGTGAACGCATCGCTTTTCTTCCATCTCTTTTCTACTTGAACTTGGTCGAGGTGAGTTTCCCAGGACCCCCACCCCCCACCCAAAAAACACCGCCTCTCACCCCCTATTCTCCCAAACACATCACTCAGACGACACCCACCCAGTCATCACCCCACACACACACTCTCCTGTCCTCCTGTCTTGTTCTGGCCCCAGCTGGTCTCTCAGAGGATGCTTTGGGAGGAGAGACGGCAGCAGGCCTCCCCATGACGTCTGGACCCTCAGACCACCTCAAATGCTGGAAAACACTCCCCCAGACCCTCCACCTTCCATAGCATGAATGACAACAATAATGACAACAAAAGTCTAAACCCAGACACAACAGGCCCCCCACATCCCAAAAAACAACAAAACCACACAAAGTCTGCACCGTCCTCATGCTGCAGCTGCTTCATTTACAACATCTCTCACTTCATTGTTTCACAGCTGCTCATCACTTTCCATGCACTTTTCTCTGTCCTGGTTCAGGTTTGTGTAGGAACAACAGACCAGGGCGCTCTCAGTTTAAAGTACCTAGTTAATTTTACTGAGCAGTTCCCTAAGTCTATGAAATAATTCAACATGCCGCCACAGCTTCCCGACTGCTGCAACCACTAAATGATCAACACCGGTCTGGTGCCGACACTGGGCCGCACATGGACCTGGTTTTCAGTTTGAAGTGAATCACATTTTATTCTCCAAACTGCCAGAACTGAGCTGACACTAACGCACAGTTAGCCTGACAGATCCTCATACAGAACTGGTCCACATGTGTCCTGAATTCAGTGCCTGACATGACCCAATGGAATCTGAGTCCAGGTGCTGGACTGACTGTGTCTCTACATGACTGGAGACACCAGGACCAGACCAGCTTCCTGCGTGAACCGACGTGCCTCCGACTGCAGGTCAAGGATTAAATCCGCACGCCCCCCATCTGGGTCCTCATTATACAACACTGCAGCAGACAGCCTGCCCCCCTGCTCACCCTGACCTGCCCTGTAAATCCCTAAAATCCTCCCCTGCCCCTGCAGATGGGGGCCTCAGCGCCTAAAGGTCGTGAGAGTCTGAGTTCAGGTTCAGGAGACAGCCACCCCCCAAGTGCATTGTCCCACACCCAACTCTGACCATGAACTTCACGGCTTCACTGTGGCAACAATGACAGATCAATTAACCCTTCGTAAACATAATCTAACACTCCGGTCTACTGGTGAACTGCTTCTAGAGCCCCCTTGATCTAGATGTAAGCGTTTTTGTGATTGTGCCTTTTTGGTGGCTGTGAAACTCTTTACCACTGGACATTCAGTCTATCTGAGGTCTGGAGCTTTGAGTCCAAATTAAAGACTTATTTATTTACTCTGGCTTTTACTCCTCAGTAACTCCTAACACTCCAGCAGTTTTCTATTTTACTCTATTAGATGATTATGTTTGATCTTATTTTATCCTGTTGCAAAGCACTTTGGTCAGCTACTAGCTGTTTGAAAGTGCTATATAAATACAGGTTGACTGACTGATGATGAAGGCTCAGAGTCTCTAACAGGATCACTGCCCCCATCCGTCTGTCTACTGGTGTTTATTTAATTGGATCCAATTAAGAGGCTGCTGATTCACTTCCAGCTCGTTAGTTAATTAAGCAGAGGTGTAACCAATGCAGCAACACTCTGTTTATTCATCTGATCTGGATCAGGGTTAGTTTCACAGTCCAAAACAGCTTCATTAAATCTCTACTGAGGCTCTTCTGACATGTATTTTTAATTTCAACCAGTTTCAAACAGAACATTTGTTCTAAGGTAAAAACAAAGCCAATAAGCAGGAATCAGTGAGATGTTTCTGTTCATGTAGAAATGTAACTGTAACTTCGAATGCGGGACAACTGTGAAGACAAACAGCATCTCTCTTAAACCTTTACAGACAAACACACTGAAGTGGGTTTTCCTTTGTAATTTAATTTCAACATGAAGTTCAAGAGCAAAACACACAAAGACGCCTGCTATATGAATATAAGGCTGATGAATACGGACAGAGCGGAGCCTCCTGTCTGCACACAGACTGGGCCACCACATTAAACCTCTCTAATTATTCTTTATTAGTATTTATTTAGAGCAGTGCAGCTTCCTATAAACTGAGTGGGTGCTAACAACTGTTGAAGTATACAACACAGGCAAAATTTTTAAAACACTAACAAACAATACACTGAACAATGACTAACCCTTTGGTAGCAGTTGCTTCATTTCAAACATAAGAAAAGAAAAATGCATGTTTTATGGACACAGCACAAGCTGTGTCACATTTTAGTGCCATTTATCTAAAATAGTCTATTTTTTTCCAGTGTGCGCTGGTCGAATGTCAGCTGCTTCCGACTGAAAACAGAATTATTATCACACAGGCGAAAATCTGATTTCTTTCTATTTAGTATACATGCATACACTCCTATACACATATTTTCCATAAAAGATGAATGCATCTGACCTGAGCAGCAAAGTCCCATCAAAATCATCATCACCACCATGGTGGTCCGGCTCCACATTGTCTTCATGTTCAGTTTAAATCCAGGTCATCTGATACAAAAGGGAAACAACAGTGATGAAAAAATGTTCCTCTTCTTTTTTTTTCGTTCTAAATAATTAAACTCAGAGGTTCATGTAGAGCTGGAGCTCAGAGGTCCTGCTGAGACTCCTGAAGACCAGTTCACACTGAGCTGATACTGAGGGGTGGGGGCGGGGCCACCTTTGGAGGGGTGGGGCCAGAGGGGGCAGGACTGATGGACTCTGAAGTAAGATGGGAGGCAGTCGGTGCTGAGGTCAGTGTGGAGCTGAGGGTTATAATGAGGGAGGGAATGATGTGAAGAGGAAGTGAAAGAAAGAAGAATGCAGGGAGGAAATAAATATGACAGCAGGAAAGTAATGCTCTGATCTGCCTGGAGACAGCTGTGTGTGGGACTGTGGTTGGTTCAAACAGGTGTCTGTTCAGTATAGAAAGTGAAACTAAAGTTGCTGAGTGAAAGAGCAGGAAATGGACTGATCAGCCAGGCCAGACTCGTGATCACAGACATGTTTGTCCTCCAGCTCGTGTTTGTGCCTCTGTTCTTTCATCAGGTGATGAGTTCAGGTAACAAACTGTTTCTGTCCTTCTTCAGGGTGTGTTAATAATCATTTATCGGCATTGTTGTAGTACCAGTGAGTACTAGCAGGGTCAGCTAATTAATCACGACTGACCAATGATGATTTTAATGATCTATGATTTTCTAAACTTACCAACTATGGAGCAGAACTCAAAATGCTATCTCTTACTGTTTGAAAGGTCCACCTGCAAGGGACCACGGGGGCCTTCAAACCTGAATAAGACACAGCTGCCTACAGACAACCATGGTATGTTTTATCCATAATGCTTTATTTATCTCAGGCTCAGGACGACATTCGCTGTGGGCCCTGGCCAACTACATCTCAGGGACAACCCCATTTCCAGAGTTCTCTGTGGTCCTGATGTTGGACGACATCCAGGTGGGATACTTTGACTCGGAGATCGACCGGATAACAAGGACTGGCGGTGGAGGTGAGGTGGACCTGGGCCAGGAGGCCGTGTTTGTGCTGCGGGACATTTTCTCCAGCATGAAGAAAAGGCTGACGCTGGTCAAACACCGCTTCAATCTGACAACGGGAGTCCACATCCAGCAGAGGATGACAGGCTGTGAGGTACTGGAGGACGGACAGCCGGCGCTCATCATGTTCAGGGATGGCTCCAATGGGCAGGACGCTGACAGCCTGTTGTACAACATGACGCATTTTACCTATGCTAGTGGGGACAGCTGGGAGATCCAGTGGGACACCATGAAGAAGACATACTTCCAGATGCTCTACTCCAACATCTACCTGCCTTTCTGTGTCCGGACGCTCCAGCAGTTCTTCGAACGCGAGAAACACCTGGTCACACGTCGGGTCCGTCCTAGAGTACGCTTCATAACGAAGCAGGTGGTGGGCGGGGCTCTGGTCACTTGTCTGGCCACAGACTTCTATCCTCGCCACATCAACCTGACACTACTGCGGGACGGCCAGCCTGTGGACGAGGGCGAGCTGTCCGGTGGATTGGTGCTGCCCAATGGTAATGGCCTCTACCAGGTGAGGAAAACCCTGATGGTAGATGATGAGGAGCTGCGGAGGAAACACAACTACACCTGTACCACCTCTCACCTAAGCATGGACAACCGTCTGGAGGTGAGCTGGAGGGCCGAGTTCTCCCGCTCACACAGGATTCACATCATCTCTGCTCCTGCTGGTCTGTTGATGGCTGTTATGCTGCTGCTACTGCTGCTGTGGTGGAGGAGGAGGTACAAAGGGGGGACGGAGGCTGTCACCACAGAAACACAGGAAAGTCTGAGCTCTGAAGAATAAAATTATCACTGTCCTGCCCCTTGTGGTCGAGACATAATGGGGCTGTCTGGGGGGAGCTCTCTGGAGTGGGCAGCATGGGGAGGGAGAGCTGGGTCCCTAATCAACAGGGTCTGGAGCAGTTTGGTAAGGAATCAGGATCTGCTGTTTCACAGCTGGATAACATTAGTCACAACAACTACAAATAAACATAAATCATAATGAAACAGTACAGCAGTGCTGTCATCAGTAGACAACATATACTCGTAAATGAATATAACCAAAAAAGGCCAGAACATCAACACAGTCACCACGGCGGATCCGACCCTGCTGAGCCTGGAGCTCCCTGACCAGGCCTCGGTCCAACTCGGCTGCCAGCCGTCAGGACGGACACACTGCCAGTCCCCTCCAAGTCTTTATCATTATTATTTATTTACAGTATGTGATCATGTACACTACTCTCTCCCCCAACTTGCCTATTACTCACTAAATGTTTTCCCTCGTTAGACTGAACAGAGCTAAACAAGACCACTATTAGAACTTGGTTTCACCAACTGTCGTTCACCTCTGTCACTGTCCTCTGCAGCAAAACAGCTTCTGTCCCTTTGCTGCTGGGATTACTTCACCTGCAGCTGGAAAACTGGGACAGACACAAACTTTACTTCCTGAGGAGAGGTCATAGATCACAGCTCCCCTCTCTGATTGGCTGGATATGGAAGTGAAGGTGAATGTGTCTCCTCCTCACTGGGACTTTGGTCGGGGTGTCTGCGGCTCAGGAGGTAGAGCAGCTCTAGGGTCATCGGTTCAATCCCCGGCTTCTCCAGCCCACATGTAGAAGTCCCCTTGAGCAAGCCGCTGAACATCAGTGCACATCAGTGTGTAGAAAACCTTTGACTGGTGAAAGACCGAACATGCTGAAAACGGGCCATTTTTTATCTCAGCCAATCAATCAGTACACATGTAATTAATGGGATCAGTGTTTGTCAGAAAGCAAAGCTCCTTCCTGGTCTCTCCAAAGTCTCAGGTCAGGTTTTGAAACTCTGTTGCTGTTCATCAGACTGTTACAGTGAAATCACAGAAATGATGCTCAACAATATCTGCAAACATCAAATTTACTTCAGAAAACCCTGCATATAAAATGATTGTTTTGTTTTGTTCCATTTTCAGTATATTTACTGTTACATTTTCCAAACTCGTCTATCAGCTTAATGTCTGCGCTGAACATGTTACTTCTCCTGAACGCAGTGCAGATAAAGGTGTGTGAACTGGGCACACACACCATCTGGACTCCACCATCGCCACTGTAACTCTGTGTTTATTTAACCAAACACACACAGCTCAGGGGCTGCTCTCCCCAACATAAAACGAACATGTGGACATGTCCACAGATTCACCAGTGCCACTGGATAAATCCTGAGTCCAGTCCCAGAGTCTCTGGTTGAGTCTGTCTCATGATAAAATCTAAAAGAGCTGCAGGATGGTTCCTGTGCATGCGATAAAACCCGCTGTAAAAAGTGTCCAAACATTGAATCATAAAATGTGACTTGTCGTCAGTGTGTGTGCTGCTGTTTCAGTAAATAGCCTCGTCCATGTTGTCATCACTGTCGCCTCCAAAGTCCTCTCCATTATCAAAGTACGACATGACGTAGTCTGTCTCCTGGAAACACACGTTCAGATGAGTTAATAAACTGAATGTTAAAAGTTAAAAACACACTGGTTACTAGTGAACATTAATATTACATCAGGTGTTCCACAGGTATAATTATTACACATAATTGTGTCTAATTAAACTTATGTTAGTAACTGTCATGGTACACAATAATAACATGGTGAAGACTATTGGTGTCATCACACATCAATCACCATCTCATTACACAGTACCTGTGAGGACACAACGGAAGTGTTGTTCCACAAGAAGATTTATGAAGCGTTAATTAAAATTAACACATTTTTCTACTGCATATACAGAATACACATCAATAACATATTGAACTTAAGATCAGTTTTATTGCCCTTCATAAACCGACTCATTAGCCAGGAAAAACTCTCTTAGCGAGTCACATTTGGTTTGTTGCTCCATCGACATGTGACTGTGTTGTCAGATAAAGTCGAACTGCACAGTCATCATATTTAACTTGAGTCGCTGATATGCAGCAGTTACAGAAGAAAGAATGGATGACAATTCACATTCATCAGGTCAGCAACAAAACACAGAGAGTCACACACGTTGCATGTTAATGCCTTGTTTCTGTAACGTTAGAGAAAATTGTTGTAAGGTTGGAGAAGCTACTATGTCTGCATTATGTCGGTTAAAATATGGGGTTTGTCAGTTACCCACTTTGTTTAGAGTGTTACACATCTCTTTTCATCAGTACATACACCATTGTTTACCTATCTATGGAGGAGACATTCAGCTTAATAATGCCATTGCAGTTCATTGTGCTGTCCACTTTCATACTCTGGTTCGAACGTGTCTGGTAGGATTTGAGGTATTGTCACTGTCGAAAACGTAGCTTATTTGTCTCTGATTCCCCCCCCCCCATTAATCCTTTTAATGTAGGATTAAACATTAAAAGGCTGGAAATGAACAAAATGAGCATGATATGGGGACTTTAATCATTCCTAATTAAGCATCACATAAATTACACATTTGAACTTGTTAACATCTAATTTTAATTCAACTCTCACCTCCTCAAACTCTTCCTCGTTGTACTCCTCCTCTCCCTCAGCCTCCTCTTCCTCCTGTTTCTTCTTCTCCTCCCCCTGCTCCTCCTCCTCCGAGCTCTCCTGCTCCTCCTTCTTCTCTAGGCTCTGTCACAGTTAAGGTGGAGCTATTGGTTAAGGTGGAAATGCCAGACTACAGGACACAGTTTAAGGTAGAAATTGTAGACTACAGGACAAAGGTAAAGGAAAAAACTGTTGCAGCTGAAAGGACGTGGTACACCAGTGTCATGGTCCACCACGGTATAAAACTGACGGTTATCATAACGTGCACATTTACTTATTACCGGTATTGAAGAAAAAAATAAGTTTTCAGTAAGGAGCACCAGTGCTCATCGTGGAAGAAGTTAAGTCTGGAGCCCTGCAGTACATGTGGTAGTTATTAGTACTTCAGGTGTTCCCAGGAAAATCCTAGGGTTTAAATTCATGTTTACTGAAGTCTGTCTCACCTCCAGTTTGAGCAGCACCTCCTCTTTCTCTTTGACCTTTTTCTTCTTCTGACCAGACTGAACTCTGTTAGAGTGACCGAGTGCCACCGAGATGCCTGAAGGTCAAAGACAGGAAGACATTAATGCAACTGTACTTTATGCAGCACACCTGAAACACCTGAGAGCTGCAGAGAGAAAACATCCAGCATTGTTTCTACAGTACAGAGTTTGATCCAGGTTTGTTCTCTGCCATAGTTTCCATGCTCAGAGTGTATTCAGAGTACTGTGTGTACACAGAACACTCGGTGTACTGACCATCTTGGGGAGGTTTCCTGATGTGGACTCTGAGCTCTTGGGGTAATCTCTTCCATTCTGAAACAACCATAAGTCATTCAAAACTCTCAGTTTAACATCACACTAAAAGTTCACAGCAGCTTCACAAACAGATCACACTGCTTCGCTGACTGCACCCTTTGTGCTGTAGATTTCATTTCAAACTGGTAAAATGACAATTTCTGCCCATCAATAAACCAATCAGTGTATGCTCAATATCCCACCATGATAAAGTGAAAATGTGTTTTTAGATACAACAGCGATGGACTGGCGACCTGCCCAGGGTGTACCCCGCCTCTCGCCCGCAGCTGGCTGGGATTGGGTCCAGCCCCCCGTGACCCCGTTTGGGACTAAGCGGTATAGAAAATGGATGGATGGATGGATGGATACAACAGTGAAATCCATCATATCCAGACATCTCCAGACCCTCTGCTGTGGCTCCACACTGTGCTCAGGTACATCCTGTTTGACAGGTGTCCTGATCCTGACCGGAGTCCACCTGTGGCAAACTGGGCTGACTGGACAGAGCGTAGACACGCACACACCTATGTGTGTCAAACCATGTCTGAAGCTCTGAGCGTCCCCAAGAGCACAGTGGTCTGGGACTGGGACATGGAACCGGCAGGACTCCTCCTGGAGTCGGTGTGTAGAAGCTGCTGGAGGACGAGCGTCTCAGCAGCTCTCCATCCATCAGGCTTGTATGGTTGAGTGGCTGCACAGAAGCCATGTTTTCACTGTGTCTTTATGGGTTACTGAGCATTGATCAGTAGGAAAAACATGGAAGTGTTTTCCATTTAAAATTACATCTATGCTAAAGGCTCCAAATACTTCTGGCAAACTACAGCGACAGAACCAAAGACTTCATAGAAACAGTGACCTTAAAACATCTGTAACAAATATAAGTGATCACTGATCCAACATCTACTGATCTGCTGGTCTGTGATCAATACATAAAAACCAATCACTGGTGGTGTCGACCTGGTGCCACAACTGTCATCTGTCTTTGTTAAATGACCAGTAAATCAAGCAATCAACACATATCAGGTATTATCAGTAATGTCAGAGAGGCTCACCTGGAGTCCAGCGCATCAGGCTGTCGGGCTGCTCACTGCTGTGGTATTTGTCCGAGTACCTCTCCACATCTGGACGGGAAACACACAGGACAAGAACTTATCAATAAAACAATGTACAATGTACAAGACACTGGGCCTAATTCAAGTACAGATCTCTATGTCTCTAATTTCCGTTAATTTCTTTAACTGTCTTCGGATATTGTGGCCAGTGTGTCAGGGTTAGGTTTTCCAGTGTCTGAGCTCAGACGCAGGGCGGTTGAAGGCACCTGGGGGCCCACATGGAGATCTGGGAGCATCTGGCGGCCCACCTGAGAGCCGTGCACAGCCCCGATGCGCTGGTCCAGCTCAGGTCACTGGGCCAACCTGTCCTCCTCCATCGGTCAGCAATTCTCTTCTATTTGTTTTGTTGTCTCAGATTAGAGATCAGACATCTTTTTACTTCATCAGTTGTGTGCCCTTCTCCATATACAGTGTTCACTGAGCAAAGAAGAGCCTCCCATGCTTTGTTTTTGTTTTATATTCACTACTGACACTACACTAAGTGTCAGTAGGGGGTATATGACAGCTTTTTGCTCTTCTAGCTAAAGTTTTTCCTCCATTTGGAGTTTGATGCTCCACCATCATTAGATTTTTACTGTAGCATTGACTTTCTCAGCTTGTCTTTTCAATTTCTGTGTGAGGCTCCTGTGTGCACACAGCCCTGCAGTCTCATGCCCTATTAAGGACACTGGCAAGATGTCTACCTATAGTAATTAGGAATGACTGGCACGCGCCTTTAGCTTACCAAGACAATGGGGTTCATCAGTGGCAAACAATTATGTGGTTTAAGAACATGCTCATGAATCAGATGCAGATTTTTCTTAGGGCCTTGCTTAAGAACATAAAACAAACAAACAAAAAAAAAAACATAAGAAGATGTTGGTCAATGAGGTCCAGTGTTCTTATATCAGCTGATCAGCACCTGCACTGATCATGAGAAAAGATCAGCTTGACTGACCATTAACTTATTAATAATGACATGCTGTGTTGCTCTGTGTGTGTCAGTGGTGGTGTGTTTTGTCGTTGTGTGAGGCATCTGCTCAGCACAGTAAGGACACACTTCTACACTGTGAGGACATGCTGTCCAGCCCTCACCCGTTCACGGGGCTGTCTGACGATTCAGATTATGGTTTGATGTTACTGTTAAGGCCTAGAGAAAACATCATGAATAGATGGTCCTCACAAGTACAAAGAGACACAGCTGTGTGTGTTCTGTGACCTCTGACCTCTGTGCGGAGCAGCTGGTTGGATGAAGAAGGGCAGACTCCTCATGGCTCCTCTGAACTCCTGTTTAAGAGCCAACAGATACTCCACCTCCTCCCCACCTGCCAGGGGGAGAGGCTTGTGTTCCATCACCTGGACAACAACAAACAGACTGAGTCAAGTACAAGTCCCAGAGTGCACTGCTGTCAGTGCTGTCACTGCATTACTGTGATAATGAAGAACTCTCTCTCAAGTTATCTGACAGATGCACAGACCTGAAACTGGACGCACATAGTAGTATAGTAGGCCACTGCAACTTCCTATTTCCATTTATAACACAGGTTCAGCAATTTGCCAGCTTTTTAAAGTTCACTGTAAAAGGGGCTTAATCAAAAAATCCGCATTGAAGGAGGGTCAAAACACTGGCAATTTGCCACACAATCTCTGTGTAAAAGGGGCTACAGAGAACAATGTATGGTAAACACCCAGGCTGCCATCATGACTCTTAAATGAAAGTCAGTTGTGCGCTTACATGAGAGCTGAAAGTTTCTAGACAGAGGTTCAGGTCTGAAAGTCTTACAGGGAACAGAGGTGTAGGTTGTTGCATGGATGGAGGTAAACTGTCTCCTCTGTTGATGCTAACTGCATCAACATTGAAATTCATCATCCTGCGACGACGACCACAACCCGCCATCACTGCTGCTCCTCAGACAGGATCCAACAGGATCAGCAGCTGGTTGGGCACAAGTCTGGATCCTGGCCTAACAAACAGAATCAAATCAAACAACTTTATCACTGATCGGGTTTGAAAATGATCTTCAGCTCTTTAAAGAAAACAAAAAAACATCACACATGTACAGCAAAGACGTTAACAAGAAGTATGCAGCAGTACCAAGGCTGAATAACAGCTGTTCACCTGTTCTGCAGTAGTCCATGCCCATATTATGACTTTAACACTCTGTGTGTACGTGATCATAAATTAACCAAGATACTGTAATTCCCGACTACATTTCTAGACAGTATGAATGGGTGATCAATATCAGTGGAAATGTGCTATAACATCCTTTATAAACCCCTGCTGACACATTCATAACCTAAATCCTTTATTAAAAAATGGTGCCCCAAAGGCTCAGGACCACCATAACCTTTTACAGCATCTGCAGTAGCCAAGAGTCAAGGGCCCATGCACAAGATCTCTGAACATTCTTAACTAGACAGCACTGCCGCACACTGCTGGGCTCTGAACTAGATGAAGCTGCCTGCTAACAGAGCTAGCTTGGTCCGATAACGAAGCATCTCTAAAAACATCTCTAAAAACGTCAGAACAAATACTATCCATCAGTCCTGACTCTCAGCACTGGAGCCCCCCAGGCATGCGTGTTGAACCCTCTGCTTTACACCTTGTACACTCATGACTGTAACACAAACACAATCATCAAATTTGCAGACAACACTACTGTAGTGGGACTGACCCAGAACAACAGCAAGTCGGCCTACAGAGATGAAGTCCAAAAACTGCCGATATGGTACTCTGAAAACAAGCTGGCACTAAACCCCTCCAAAACCAAAGAAATGGTTATTGATTTTTGGAGGAAGAGGGAGTAACCTGCTCCTCTTTACATTAAAGGAGACATGGTGGAGAGGGTCACTGACTTGAAAGTCCTGAGAGACATGTCTCTCAGGACATCACATGGACAATTAACACCACCTCACTTGTGAAGGTTACTTACTCGTTAAGGTCACTGAGGAGAGTTAACCTGTCCCAGAAACTGCTGCTGTCCTTCTATAAATGTTCTGCAGAGAGCATCAGTACCCATGACATCCTGGTGTGGTTCATAGGCTGCACTGTGGCTGACAGGAAGGCTCTGGACAGAGTGATTAAATCAGCTGAGGGTATCATAAGGACTCTGCTTTCCTCTCTCGCAGACATAAACAGAGCCCGAAGCCTGCAACGAGCCACAAAAATAATCAAAGACCCCTTTCACCCTGGGAACCACCTGTGCTATATGTCTATGAACAGACTCTTCAGTAGCTTTAACCCACATGCAATAAAAGAACTAAACTCCAATGTGCAATGATCAACATGCTGCTAGACACTGTGAGGCACTGTTGTTGACGTGTTTTGTCTCTGTCTTTTATTGTACTTATTATTTATTAGTTTTAACCAAAAATGACAAATTTCATTGTACATTTGTGTAATGACAAAGAAGGCCGTTCTATTCTAATATATCCTATTCTAAACTGGAGTGGGAGGTTTCTTCTGTTAAAGGGAGTTTTCCCTCCCCACTGTCGCCAAATACTGCTCAAGGGGGGTTTGTTGGGGTCTTCTGTACAACACTGCAACATCTAGACCCGATTATGTAAAATGCCCGGAGATGATTTCTATGAGTTATACGCATAAACTGAATTCTAAAAATTGTTTTCACAAAATTTTTATTTTGTATTTGCTGTTACCTTATGTTAAGGTTACAAAGCATACCGAGCGCCTCTGCACTGGAGTCAAATTCCCTGTGTGTGTTTAACATACATACTTGGCCAATAAAGCCGATTCTGAAACAGGTGTTATCTGTACATTAGCTGTATTAGCAGGATGCAGTGCAGTTAGCATGTTTAGTAGCCGTGTTCCCTTCCATTCCAACCTCTAGTCTTTCTCCGTATTTCTCGACTAAACCTCTTCTCCCCCGCAACATCTCATCTTCTCGTCAGACGTGAACACGCATTCAGACACACTTCTGCTGTCACTGGATCATCTGGTAAAAAGTTCTTTAGAGTAACCAGCGGGGTACCTTCTCCTTCTTCTTCTTCTCCTTCTTCTTCTTCTTCTTCTGCAATGTTTACTTTTTGTCAGTCACCGCCCCCTGCAGGCCTGGGTGTATTTATAAATTACTGTACAGACTCAGCTGCTCAGGACTGTGTTCTACTGAGATGTTTCTGGTATTTAGCAGTACCAACAGCATCAGACAAGCGATGATGCAAATCTTGGTCCTCCCGTACCTCACAGTCCACCAGGCTCTGCAGACAGTCAAAGGGACATGGACAGTTATTTGTGGATGCCCTAGAGTAGATCTGCTTTCCAGCTGTACTCAAAATAAAGTAAGAGAGTTCAGTCTAAAGTCTCTGTATTCTCAAAGTATGAAAAGAACAAGTAAAGTACATCAGCTTTGCATTTAAGTTTATTACTCAAGTAAATATACTTTGCTCCAATGTACATACTCTAGAAACAGATAGATCTGTTCCTGTAACCACCGCTACAACCTGTCCAGGACACAAAGAGGCTTTAGAAGATCTCTTACTTTCTTTATTTAAAGTCATTCAGTAGAACACCTTTAAGAGAACCTTTTCACATCCTGGTCGTACTGTGTTATTTACAGAGATGAGTACAGCTGGAAAGCAGAGCTGCTGCCGGATGTCCACAAATAACTATCCATGTGTCCGTCTTCCAGGAATCGACCCTGATCTGATCTGAGGTCGATTTCCTACTGGCATGCTCACATCAACCTCTATAATTACACCATTATTTTGGAAACTCTTTCTATGAAGCACATTTGCTGCTGCAGGAACTTCAGTCCTGACTTTAAAAAACTGACAAACCCCGACTTCTCAGGGGCTCCTTAAGGGTCATCTCAGTAATTATCTCTCTGCTGTGATTGGCTGTGGTGTGTTTACTGTGGCTGGTACACATGAGCGCTGAGTTGTAGCAGGAGATACATGTGAGTACGTGTGCTGCATGTTGTCCCCAAGCTGCTGTGACCTTTGACCTCTTCTGTCTACAGGGTCTGTTGACTCAGAGCTAACGTTAGCATTAGCTCAGTGTTTCTAAATGTAGAAACAGAAAGAGGAATCTGAGCACTGACTCCAACACTTGATCACACTCTGAATGAGTGATCACTGGGCATCAACCAATCACACGTCGCCTGGGATACCCTGCCACCCAATCAGTGATGACAGGCTGCTGGTCACGCATGTGGAGGACTGCAGTCCAAGAAAAAGAAGAAGTAGAAGAAAGGTATAGGGGCCAAATGTAATATGATGAGTGCAGGTCTTCAGGATGTGCCTCTGTGTTCAGACTTCATCTGTTTATAGGTGATTTATATATTTTATTGTATATTAGTATTATTGTTAAAATAATTTTAACTTGTATGATCCACAGTACATCTTTAATATGTCAAATGTGTCAAAGTTCAAGCTGAACAGCTGCAGTCTCAGTAAACAACAGAGTCAGATTACACTGCACTGACTTTCATTCAGCCTCAGGACATGTTCTCAAACCTGAACTAAACTGAATTCTAAAATCAGGTCTAAACCCACAAAAGTAAAAAAATAAATAAATAAATCCAATGAATGTTGTCACATTGAAAAATGTTCACACTTTTCTGAAATGTCCTCATTTTAAATGTTATTTTCTAAAGTCTTTGCAATTTATTAAATGTCTCCATTGTCATTTTTCAAAAATGTCACTTCCACTTTCAAAAAAGCTTCAAATTTTTGCTATTCAAAAATAATTATGTCCATACCATCCCTCTATAGGCAGTCGTTATTGTCTAAAATTGTTGTTCCTGTTTTAAATGGCCACATTTTACAAAAGCGTTAGTGCAAAGTGAAGATACAGAATCAAGATTTAATATTTGACCTGTAGGGGTCAGGGAAGATCAAATGAACGTCCTGGTAGAGTCGCTCAGGCCGTCTGCTTACACATGAGCCATGGGATTCGACCTTTAACACAGTTTTACTAACACACCATAACACAAGCCATGTTTCTAAAACAACACACTACACTGTGTTTATGTGTTTCTCACAGGCCTTCTTAGCAGGGACAACGCTCATTACGTGATCTGACTGCGGTAGGAAACACCTGAGAGTCGGCTGCCTTCCCTTAGTTATGCTGCTATAGGCCTAGACTGCCCCATGATGCTCTGAGCTCCTCTCCTCTCCTCTCTCCATGCATCTACAGTATATGCCACAACTACGCTTCCCTAACTACGTGTCTCCTCTCTTCCATAGTGTATCCTCTCTCTCTCCCTGTACCTTTCTGCAGGTTGCCCTGGCCCTGGAGCTCAATGTTTCTGATGAGCAATCACCGGCCACATCAACCTGCCCAATGTTTGACTGTTTGTTGTGTCTTGTTGCTTTTCTTTTCTTTCCTCTATCCACTCACCCCCACTGGCTGTGGTAGATGGCTGCCCACCGAGAGCCGGGGTCTGTCGGAGGTTTCTTCTATTAAAAGGAGTTTTTCCTCCCCGCTGTCGCCAAGTACTGCTCTGGGGGATTTGTTGGGTTTTTCCTCTATAATAATAGCAGTAAAGTTTAGACCTTACTTTGTAAAGTGTCCTGAAACAACTTTTGTTGGTGATTTGGTGCTATATAAATAAAACTGAATTTATGGAGGTCCACTACTGGTAGAAGTATGCAGAACTTTCACGCAAGTAGTGATACTCAGTTACAAGTAATTTTTAAGTGAACAGCAGTATTGTCAATGAAAAACACATCAAGTATCAAAAGTACTCATTATCACTACTGGTAGAAGTTGGATTGTTATTCCTGATGCATTTACATTCAGACATGAAATGTAGCTGTTGGCCGAGTTATAAACTGGGCTGTTTTGTGTTTAACGATTTATAAAACTGGTGTTTTATATGAACTGGTGAATCTATCACTTACTACAGCTGTCAAGAGACAAATGTGGCGCAGCAAAATGCGACTACCCTAAAGTTCTACTGAGAACCAGTATTTATTTCCCAGTGCACATGAATGCATCACTGTGATCTTTTTAAACCAACAAACTTTCATTAAGACTTTGGTGATTTTTATTCCTTGCTGATACAGTTTGTTGTAACTGGTTACAGCAGTCTGATTATTATCCACTCCTACATGTAGCATCTATAAATTAGGAACACCTGGATTGTATTTATTGTGCGATCACAGCCCCCAGTGAAACATGCTCAGAGTTGAATGGGGATTTAAAATTTTGAAACAAAGTTTGCAAACTGCTTTATTGTTTCAGTAAAAAAAATAAACATTTGCTATTATTTACAAAATATATACAACTACGTCTTTCTTTTACAGTAGTAGTAAAAAAAAACAACAACAATCAGAACATTGGGGTGAGTGACAAGAAAAATCTAAACAATACTCTTCACAACAAAAGGTTTGTGCACAAAGATGGGTAACAGGTCAGATACTGAGTCCACACTGAGGTCAGCCTCCGCCCTCAAGGCTCCCATCAGGGCTGGACAGGACAGGCGTTGGACGGTCTAGAGCAGGGGTGTCAAACTCAATCGCACAGGGGGCCAAAACTCAAAGCACGCTTTAGGTCGCCGGCCGAACAGGATAAAAATTTATTGAACAGACTAAAACTAAACGTTTTTTGAACATAAATATGAATCGAAACAGATACGATACAATATTATTCCAAAATAAATAAACTTGAACTTAACATCAGCAACCGTATTTCTGCTAAGGCTCACATTTGCAAACACCTGCTTTTTGTCTGGACACAAGACGTCGCACACTTTCATCATGCAGCTCAGAAACTCTCCCTCGGTAAATGTCCGGGCTGATTTTCTCCTCTGCTGCAATAAAACTTGCTTTCACAGCAGCTTCACTGTGTGATTTCACTTTGGTGAAAATGTCTGCTGTGATGTCAGATTCCCTCCGCCTCAGGACATTCTCAGAAGACCTGAACCACCTGAGGAGGATTAGCAGAGTTGTGATCCACCTGAGGACAAGGAGACAGAACAAGATTCAAACTGAGGGTTGGACATCAAAGTATCTCGTCTTTTATCTCATTTAATTTAATGTCACTTTATTTCATGTAAGAAAGAAAGTCACTTTCAGCTTTTCCCGTTGAGGGGTCGCCACAGCAAATGTTCACACTCACGACTCGCATGTTGAGATTTGGCATGTGTTTTACGCTGGATGCCCTTCCTAACGCAACCTGGATTTGAACCCAGGACGCCGCAGCGAGAGCGCTGCGCCTTAACCACTAGCCTACCAGGGATGGCTTAATGTCACTTTATTTCTTGTAATCATTTGCATTTATTTTTATTTAATCTGCTTTTTTGCTCCTCCATTTCATTTGAATCTCAGTTCATCTCATTTCAACTCATCTCATCCCAGCTCATGATCTCATCTAGTTTTATTTCAGGCCCCTTCTTGTCTAATGTTATTTTGATCTCCTCCAGTTAAATGTTATCCAGCTTCATATTTGATCTTATCCCAGTCATCTCATCATTATCCTGTCTAATTTCATTTTATCTAAACTCTCCTCAGGTTATCCTTTTGTGTTATCTAAAATCTTATTCCATCTCCTCTGATCTTTTTGAATGTCTCTTCTAGTTTTTCTGTCTCATCTTTGTCATTTCATTTTAGCTCATATTTCATCTTAACCTTATTTGATCTCATCATCTCATTTTTACCCCTGCTCATCATTTCGTTCTATTTAGTCTAACCTCATCTCAAATGATCTTATCTCATTTTCTTCATTTATCAAGTTTTATTTCATGTTTATCAAATTTTCTTTCATATTAATCTCAATGACCTCATCTCATATCTTATTTCTAAATCTAATCTGTTCATTGCATTTTGATATCATCCCACTTGGTTCCGTGTTATCTTACCTTGGCATGTTAGTCTCATGTCACCTAAATTGATCTAATTGTATTTTACCTTTTAAAATTTCATCTCATATGACTTCATCTATCTTGCCTCATTATCTCTCATTTAACTCCAGCTGGTCTCATATAGTTTCTTAAAACCTAATTTAATCTTTTTATAACTTAATTTTGTTTCATTTCATATAATCTCATTTTAATTCATTGTTCTCAGTCTCATTTTATTTAATTTTATCTCATCTCACCTAATTTGATCTACTCTAATGTTATCATATTGGTTTCACCTCTCTACTTTGCTCATATCATCTTTCTGCATCTAATCTTTTTTCTTTAATCCCATCTTTTTGTTTTATTTGCCATGCAATGCCACTTTTACTCATTTTATTTAATCTAATCTTATCATGTTCTCAGATCAGATGATCCTGGCTCTGATTTGATCTCATTATTCCCTTTTCCAAATCGAGGGCCAGACCAAACCAAACTGAACCGGGGGTGGTGTTGCCTCACCTCACTGTATGCAGGAGGAGGGGGATAGCTCAGTTCAGGTGCTCTCATGAAGAGCCCCCCTTCATCATCGTCTTCACCACCGTCGTAGTCGTGCAGCAGTGGTGTGTGGAGACCGTCCATCCTCAGGTCTCTGTGGATGTTACTGTAGCTGGGAGGGGCTGAGGGGAAAGAGACCCAGCTGCTCATTGATCCGGCCTGGCTAGTCATGCTGCTGGTCCTGCTGCCAACTCCACTGTACGGTATTGTACCGATGACCAGAGGCAGCTCCAGGGTCAGTTTCTCACTGCCGGGGATGTGCAGGTAGATCTGCAGGAAGGAGGGGAAGTTAAACTCACCTGGTTTTATACCAGGTCATGTCATATAATCCTACGTCATTTTGTATACTCTCATTTTAATGTATTTTACCTCTTCTTTTCTCAAGGTCTCAACTTAAGTTACTTCAACCTTATTTTATATTACCTACTATAATTTTAAAATTCCACCTTTTCATCTGATTCCATTTATTGTCATGTTTTATTTTTCTGATTATGTCTCACCTTACATTATGTTACAGCTAATATTCATATTACCTCTATCTATTCACTTGATTGATCTAATCTCATTTCATATTGTCTCATCTTACAAATATCTGCTTGATTTCGATCTCACCTTGGTCTCTCATTTTAATCTAACTCACTTGATTTTGTTTTCTCCCATCATAATTTATCTCACTTTATCTCATCTTATCTCAGATCAGCATCTCTCTTTAATGTGTTTGAAGTCTCAATCAGAGGTCTGTACTGGTGGCTGAGACCTGATCCAGGACCAGAGTCTGACCACAGTCTATTCAGCTAGAACAGCAGTTGAAATGTTTGGTAGTGTTAGCGACTGTTTGGTAACTGTAGACCTGCCTTCACTCCTACACCCACATAGAACTTTTACTGGTGTTGGTGATAACACCACCTGGGGCCAAATAATGGGTAAACATCATTTAACTCGTACACTGATCTTCCACAGGAACACTCTCTCAGTCTTTGGCACATTTAATTGTGGATTACTGACAGATCCTGGTTCAGGTCCTGTATTTATAACTGCTGATCTCAGGTGTGTTTTAATACTTGAGAGGCTCTCAGTAAACTCTAACATTATTAAGGTCTGCTCCAGGGAGGTTTCCTCTTGGGCTGCATCAGCCATGACTCACCATGAGGGTGTAGTCCATCCTGATGATGTCACAGCCCAGCAGTGAGGGCTTCAATTTGGGTACCCTGATAATCTTTCCTTGCCACATGTCACACATCCCTGAGATGATATGGTTTCCTCGAACTGCTGACAGTTTCTGACGCAACACCTGAACCACAGGACAAACTCGTCAGAGGTCAGACCTTTTTTATTTTCTAAGGTTAGAAATGTGTCTGTGCATCACCTTGGTGATTCCATCAGCAAGGTATGAGTGTGTAGCAATGATGGCGGCCTTCGGAACTACAATGCGTGAACACGTGTTCTCAAACTTGGCATTGATGTTGATGTCTTCTCCCTCACAGAATCCCTTCCTTTCGATCTGAGCACTGATGGACACCTGGCCATCAGGGATGAACATGCAGGTGACCTTCTTCTGTGTGGAGGCTGCAGCTGGAGCCTGAAGAAGGAAAGATTCACCTGGTCAGAGGTCAGCCAGGTGTTAGAGCACCTACGTTTCAGACACTGTCATCTTTGTGACACTTGACAGATTCCCAACAGGTTCATTATATACCCCAAGTGGTCAGTTTATTAGGAACACCTGTCTCAAACTGCAAGTCTAATCTAACATCCCTGCAGCAAATCCTCCTTTAACTGTACTGTGTAATACCGAGAGATGTTTCTGGATTTTTGTCCACCCCATTTATATCAGTGAGTCTTAATACCAGAAACGGCTCTCTGTATAACACAACCGCAACTCCTGGATGGACAACAGTTTGTTCAGTTTTCACAATGTTGTGAAGTAACTCTGCCAGTAAAAACAGAGCTGGTGAAAGCTGAAGCAACAGGTTTTGAGCATCTGTAAGCCGATTTTCAAAAAGATGAAGTGAAACTAAGAAGGTTTTGAAATACAGAAATCTAGCAACTGATCACACAGTCACCAAACTTTCATATTCATGACTCAGTGTTTGCGTGATAATGTCTTTGCCGTGTGATTTCATACCAGCATGTTGGGTTGGTTGACATCCAGTGGCTCCTCCACCTCAAACTCCCTCTCACACTGCAAAGCATCCTGGGAAGGCCTGTCCAGCATCGCCCGGACGTAGTAACGGACGTAACCAAATTTTCCTTTATAGGACGACACCAGATGCCTGAGGACACACCAGAAAATCAGCTAGTGTTATCAATAAGTGATCAGTTATGAGACTGACTGTAATCAATCAGTGAGTCTCACCCCGGTGCCGGCAGCTCAAAGCCAAACGTCCAGCTGTAGGTTTTACCAGGCTGCACCAGGAAACTCCCATCCGGGTCTGAGGAAAAACACAGGAGCTGCTTTCACTTTCAGTTTTAATGTCACACAAACATATGTAAACATAATGCAATGTATTTATTTCCTTTCTACTTTATGTATCCATTCAAACACTAGATCATCTGTCATGTATATCAAACTACTTCATACTGGCTCTGTGATTTGAATCACATAAACAAAATGATGAAGCATTTTGAGCAGCTTCCTGAAAATCTAGACGACAGGTCACTTTGCCTGCAGCTGGGTCCTGTTTGAAGTGCACTGAGATGAACTTAACTGTCAGGGCCACTCAGCGGCCGCTGCCTCTCCTCCACCTTTCTCTCCTCTATTTTCTTGATCTGCGGGATTCTGCACCTCAGCTGTGTTGCACTCGGTAATTGGCGACTCGTTTGTCGGTGCACACAGCTGGGGTGCATCCCGCTGATTAGTT